GCTACAATCGACAGGCTATTTTTTTCCATAATAAATTCTTGAACCACCTTTGTTTTCGGGTGGGGGACAGGAGGACTGGGGCAGCTCAAACTCAAGGCAACTCTATTATTTCTTATACTATTTTGGGATTTTGGAATCATTTATTTGATGCCTATCAGATAGTTGCCGATGATCTTCTGAGTGTCTACACTTTCATTTTAAATTTTATTTAAAAAGGAAACAGTGGCTGGTATCTCGAGGATACGTGTAGGTCTTCAATTGAAAAAAGGAGCCTGAAAACTGGGATGTGTGTTCCCTCCTGGCTTAATCTTATGACCTAGATTTGTAACTAAACAGAAGTAATAATTTAAGAAATATTTTGCAATACAGACCCAAAATAGCAACACAAATCCATTTTGCTTAAAGTGCTTTCTATTCAAAATTTCATTAGAAACATTTCGTGGTGAAACCATGATTATTTTGCCAGCCAGACAGCGAGGGCAGGGAGCAGAAGGGAGGAATAATCTGGAAGAGCTGGGCCGTGGTCTACAGGATGGGATGAGACTTTTGGAAAAGGAGCAGGATTATTTGGACCTCCCTCCCCATGAGACTGTTTCCACATGAAAAATTGTAACAAAAAAATAAATAAATAAACTGTATTTGAAAGAGACTGATCCCTCCCCAGACAGCTGGTAACACGTTGTAAAAGCCTAATGATATGAGGCATTATCAAATTAAAATTCCCATATTTTGCAGGATGCCGATTTATACATCCACTCAGCCACGCTGTTTTTCTACTGGTAACTTGAATTCCTGTTTTAAAACTGTGCCAACTCCCCTTGGGTGCTCTGGTGATGAAAACAACTTTCCTTAAATTTCAGCCAAGACTTTTTCACTCTTGGTATTGGATGAAAAATATGCGTGCTGGGGCACACACTGCAATGACCAGGCGTGCGGCAGGGCCGGGGTGGGGGGGGCGGAGGAGAGAGAACTATTCTGATATTTAAAATAATAGGGGGACAAAAGGATGCATTAAAAATAATATGCTAATTATTTTTTTAAAATATATTCTGATTCTAGGGGCGCCTGGGTGGCGCAGTTGGTTAAGCGTCCGACTTCAACCAGGTCACGATCTCACGGTCTGTGAGTTCGAGCCCCGCGTCGGGCTCTGGGCTGATGGCTCAGAGCCTGGAGCCTGTTTCCGATTCTGTGTCTCCCTCTCTCTCTGCCCCTTGCCCGTTCATGCTCTCTCTCTCTCTGTCCCAAAAATAAATAAACGTTGAAAA